CAAGTTTAAACATACAGCTGTTTAAAGAACAATATTTGAGAAATCAGCCTTTAAAGTTTATGATTTAAGGCATTTCTTAGGCAGAAACCATCACCAAATCGTTAAAAATTGTTGTTTTAACATTGAAAATGAGGAAAATATCAGCATAGCATGATGTATAGATATATAAAGGTTAGTTTAGTGCAATAAAATAGATTTCTAAAATTTTGACATTCCAGCATGTTTTGGCCATTATCTCCAAAACAGGATTTGCGATGAGTGACTGGTTTGGCTTGTCTTTGCCACATATGGTGTGTCTTTGAGAAAGACACTATCTACATTTGCCTCTGTTTACATAGAGGTAAATGTGAAAATTGGTAATACAGTACTGTACTGAATTATATAACTCGGAATACTCCCCACGGAGTGGAGGAGGCTGCACATTGTGCATGATTGATCCAACATGAACAGTGCCTTGAGAAGTTTTGAAATTAGATATGTGTGCTACATAAATTCTATATAAAAGTAAAATTTAATCTTGTTATTGATTTATTCATAATTTACTGCTGCTGGGGAAACATGGGAATCAGCCTTCCATTAAGAATGCTGGGGGAAAATATTGAGAGTTCAGATATAGAAGTTAACTATGGAAATTCCAGAATGGTGTTTAACCACTATGCCTGCTACTATATTAACAGTACTATTCCATGACATAGCGTAAGGCCTACATTTCTTCTTGCTTTGCTCATTAGAATACAGCTTATATGCAACATCAAATGGGTAATGTGTTGTAAAGTGTGCTCTGTACAAGCCTGTAAGATTGTACAACCAGCGATAAATTGATTTTCATTTTATGTCGGAAAAATGAGCAATTTTAATGATTAATCTGAGTTGGAATGACATTATTACCAGAAAGCACATATTCTCATGTAAATGTAACCTATTAATATTGAGTCCGTGGTATTCATTAACTACTGTAATACAATACAAATCTTTACCACCATGATTGGTTTTCGTGATGTCATAAAGATAAACGTCTCCAGTGAAAGTTAACAATATGTTTCAACACCTGTCTCTGTGGCAACTACGTTATATGGTATTGAAATTTATTTTGGATATTTGGCAATCAATTTTGAGAAGCTGTATTACTGTACTTTCAGTCATATGAGGCAGATACTATAATATTTTCCCCTATCAGTGGATATTCCTGGAACTATAAAAACAGTATAGTACTATTTGGAGTGTGCAGTTTACTAGCTGTCTGCTTTGCTAGTTTTCCACATTGGCAGCGCATAGGTTTCCCCAGCGAGGGATCCGATGTCCTCGACAAGGGGGCCAGACCAACCTCAGCCCTATGGTTGGCCGTAAGGTGTGCAAAATTTTAGAATAGGCACCTCTAGTTGCTCATGACACTTTCAGACGTAAAAGTCCTTTTTCAGAGCTGTGTTCCTAAATGAAATAATTGACTTTTTTTGCTCACGATAGGGAAAGTGTATCCTAGAATCTAGCTCGATGAATACAAGCGGAGGTTTTTTCAAGCTATTTTGCAATGCATTGTTGGCCGATAATTAGAAAGTTGATTGCATCGTGAAAGCATCATTCTGATAGAGGTTACAGTGCATATGCGCACTGACGTTAAGAAGGGAATTAATAATACAGATTGCTAGTTTCGGAATATCCAGCTTGTGCAACTGTGCATGCAAATTAAGATTCAGTAAATCTTCATAAAATAAATTGAAATACAATATACTCAACTTGGCATCAATTCAAATGGAGTTTCTTAATATATTCTTAAATGCTGTATTCGTAATGCTGAGTAGCTTTGCATTACTAGTATTTGGCAAGTGTTATTCTTGTGTGTCTGCATTACTTTAATTTAGAATGATCTGATTAAAGTGGCTCTAAAGCTTGTTTGATTTAATATACCTGTACTTACCATTTGGAAAGCTTTGCCAAATAATCTATATTATCCGATTCTTAAAGTCAACATGCTTGGTAACTTGGTAATTGTAGGTCTGCATTCCATGATGCAATCAACTTAATCAATAGTATTGGATACCTTGAGAAAACATCCATAATGAAACAACCTTGGATTGGATTCCTACCAATTTTTGAAGCTCAGTAATTAACCATTGATCAGTAGAACTTGGGTTTAGTGATGCTGTAAGAATTTCCCAGGGGGAGGGAAAGGCTTGGGTAGTGCCAAGTGAAGGTTTTAGAGTGGGGCCTTAGGGGTGCCACGGCCCATCTTCTCTGGGTGCAGGAGCAGAGGTACAAGATGAAAATCGATGAGCAGGAATTGTTGCCTATTTTTAATTTAATTAATTTTATTAGATGGAAATTCTCAAGCTTCTGAGCTTATACGGTTATCCTCTTGCTTTCATTTATATTTTTTTTTCTTCGTAATTGAAATTGGGTGTAAGAGAGCAATAAATAAAAAAAAATAACAAACAAGCTTCTCCGATGGAGGGCCAGCTCTCCTTGACAAGGGGCTTGGCACCCTACTGGCACTGCCACTGCTTGAGTTCAAATCCTAATCCTAATGATAATATATGTTCAAAAATTCAATCATTATCTTTACCTTTTTAACTCTAATGCTAGGATTTTCACCATCCAAGATATTATACAACAGTTTCATTGACACTGAATATGTAAATTGTTTATGTTCTATTTGAGACTGAAGCAAAATAAACTAGAAGATGCAAATTGAATTGTAGAAAACAGTTTCATATGCAGCAGAATACTTCCTTGGAAATACAATAATGTGTTTGTTGGGGTGTGTGTCATTTAAAAGTGTGGGTAGGAGAACATTATGTAGATGTGCCTACTCACAACTTTTATCACCTGGTGAAATCCAGAAATTGTTGTGGATGAGGTACAAAACGTTAATACCTATGGAACTTCTAAATGATTGGATATAAAACCTATTTACATTTTAATGTACAGTAATATACAGTACTATTTTCTCCATTGTGTTTTTAAATTTCAAAAAATTAGGGCCTGGGCCAGTTAACCGCAACTCATTTGAAACTACTACTTTTAGGTTATATACTTCCCTTCTTAGTCTTGACTGCTAATTTATCACTTACTATCTTTCCATTTGTGATCCTTTTTTTACATTCTTATGGGAGCTATAAATTATGAATCCATTTGCAACCATCCATGCAATTAGGTACTAATACTGTTTACATCTTAGCTTTCTAGATTGTAAATGATATATTGGAACCCACTGCATGGCATCCACTTAAGATTTCTATTGGTCTGTTGTGCCATTTTCTTATTATAATAGTTTCATTATTATTATATATTGTATGTATAATTACTATTATTATTGTACTGCAATCTATCATGTAGGCCTACATTGTTTGTATTGAAAGATTTCTATTGGTCTATTGTGCCACTTCAATATTATAATAGTTTCATTATTATTATATATTGTATATATTATTATTATTATTATTATTGTACTGCAATCTATCATGTAGGCCTACATTGTTTGTATTGAATGGTTAAAACTTAATTAGGTGAGGCTTTTTTTAATACCTTGTTTTGTGAACCCGTCGCCTGCCAATAACAATGATTTCCAATAAAAATAAAATTCTATTTTTGGCTAATTATTGCATCAACCTCCACAAAAAAATGCAAATTTCAGAAAAAATAAAAATAACAGTTTTCCTTTATTTTTATTATGCCCGTCGCTGCCTTGAAATCTCCAAAATAAGATATGTAATTTCTTCCTAATTATATAAATGTAACTATTTAAATATTTTCAACTGTTTACATTCACAAATAAAATTTTATTTTCTCCTCAGTCTGGATGTTTTTGGCAAACTATTTGCTGAATAAGGAAAAAAAATTATTTTTATTCTCCTCCCCCCTCCTCTGACAATCTTTAAAAAAATAAGTTCACAAAGCAAGGTATAAAAAAAGACTTGCCTTATCCTTAATATCTTTGTTATTTGTTATAATAATTGTTATTGTTGTTACATATTTCAAGGAGCCATTCTATTACCATTTATCATGCATTTTTTTGTTAGTGATATGATTTACTATATTTTACTCTCTGTTTCTGAAAACAAAATTCCCTTGATTTTAGTGTGCAATTTAATTTATACATCGATAAAATATTTATAAAACTATTAAAGCTGTTAAGTTAGGCATCTAGATACTGTAGATTATGCAGTGTAAATAAGGAAATATTATTTATGATTAATCAAAAGATTTATTGCTCTTTAATTTTGAAGTTATTAGATGTCATTCAATATTAATGATTTTAACTTT